GTGTGTGTGTGTGTGCGTGTGTGCGTGCGTGTGTGGTTTGGACCTACAGTGCGCAGCTCTTCTGCACTCCTGTGAGTCTGTTCATCCTTACAACCACAACTTTTGGACACCTGATATTGTGCAGAATCTGTAAGTTCAGACATCATATCTTCTTTCTGTTTTTAATGTTTTTTTTTTCTCTTTGATCTGCTTGCCTCCCTCATCAGGAGTGCTGTGAACAGCTGATGCCACCAGGTGACTGGAAGGTAAGAGCTCAGCCATCCCTCTCTCCTGTGGAAACTCTTCCTGTTAGTTCGGTTCTCTTGTTCTGCAGCAGTTGGTCAGTTTTTCTGTCACCTCTTTGTTKTTGGTTTTACACAGAAATCCAGTGAAGATTAATTTATTTCTTCAAGGATATATATTTATAATTCTCATCCAACCACAATTAAAGTCAATCTATCCTGGAGGAATAGGTTTTTAAGATAGTATTTATTTAAAATAATAACGAGAATATAAAATAGGAGAAACAACTTTCTACTTCTTACCTTTTTAAAAAATGTAAGGAGTTGAAAGTACAGATAATTGTGTAAAACTGTAAGGAGCAGAAGTAAAAAGTAGGCTGAAAAATAACTAAGTAAAGTACAGATGACCAAAATTTAGGTAMAATAATGACGTATTTGTACTTYGTTGCTTTACAACTCTGCATAATACAGCCCAGAATTACTGAGTATATACTTACCAGGTRTATACAAAGTACTCCCCTGGTATGTAACAAGTACTCACAATGTATTTACAAGTTAAGTACTAGGTATGGACCCAGTATATAATAAGCTGTAATTTACATCAYGAACTTTGACGTTGGTAATACTTCTTTAAATTACACTTTATGGTTGTAATTTCAAGGTTTTTAATACATTTTTACCCTCAGGTTAAACGTGTTAGACACAATTTAAATATGTACAGCGGGTAAAATAAGTATTGAACACGTCACCATTTTTCTCAGTAAATATATTACTAGAGGTG